ATGCAATAATTAGTGTGTGGCTCAAAAGATTTACAACTGTACTTCTAATTTGTAGGTAGCATCTATAGCAAAATAATAATAACCTGAAATGAAAATCCACATACTTAATCAAATAATGCTGTACTAATTATGTTTGTCACAAAAAGTTAATTCCTTGGAAAAGCTCTTTAATGTTTATAAAAAAGCATTATGAAGACAATTTCTTAACCTTATAGCATTTTAGCCACCACTAATTGTTGAGTTCTGCATGAAACAAATATTGGATATTTAGGGGAATTTCTTATACCTTTTCGACCATGCTCTAAAGTGAAATTGCTGCTGGTAAGATCCTATTATGCTTATCTGAAAAATAGCAACGCCAGCAGAAAAATGTGTTTGTGAGTTTTTAGGTATGTGTAGTTGTTGTGTTAGGATCCTTCAAAGAAATTTTTTTTTTTTTTTTTTTGCTTATGCTCCATTTACAAAGGGGCAAATGATTGAATTTGCTTCACTGAATTGAACTTATACAGCTTCCTGCTGGGTTCTGGGGAGCATTTATGGAACACCACCTGGAGGGCAGCTGCTCTTTTCTCCTAGCCCTGAATATCATTAAATTTTAGCAGCAACATGACACACTGTAGAAAATTTTGTTTTAAGGCTGCACTCTTCTGTGCTGTTGTTGTCAAGAGTAGAGAGAAGAAGGGGGGCATTTCTGGAAAGAGGGAGTGATAGATTTCATTCCTTGTCAGCAAGTGCCCACAACCAGGAAAAGCAGAAGGACTGGAAGTATAAATTTTTTTTTTTTTTTTTTTTTTTTTTTTTTTTTTTTTGAGGGGAAAAAAAAAAAAGCCAGTAGGAAGACATGTATTTCAAAACAGTATACTGTCTTTGTGTAAATATAAGTACTTATGGACTGTGCTGAAGCAGTCACAATTTAACTTCCTATTTGAGCTGCAGAATGTCTTCACTTAAAAAAGGAGAGAAATTGCTAACCTTATCTTTGCACATGTGGGTGACATTTGAGCTGCCCTAAGAATTCATTTTCTTGTAACTATTTGCTTAAGCATTTCACTACCAGATTAAGCCTGAAGACAACATTGCAGTGAAATTCTGTGAAACACTGCTTTATGCCTGTGCCTTCCAAAGGAGCAAGTAACTGTGGCTCAGACCCTCTATGGGTTTTACACATTTTGAACAGGTTTTTTTTAATTACAGTTAAGAAACCTTTTATATTAAGAGCAGAGGTAATATGGGACTAGCTTATGACAGCTCACCTACTATTGCTGTGCTTCAGGGGTTTTTCCTCCTTTAGTTTCCAGCATTTAAGTGACAAATCCAATATGAAGAGAGGACTGCACCTCCCTGGGAATTACAGTGTATGTCCCAGCTATCTCTGTGCTTCTCGTATCCCCTGAAGTCTCCATCAGTCATCTTACTGATGCTATCAGGAAGCTTGGCGCAATGATCAGAAACAGCAATCTACATACAGTAAACGTTATCAATGTGATATATCTGCTCAGAGCCTTGCTATAAAAATTTAGTGTTTTTTTCAGTGGAATACGTCAATTAACTTGTATTTCTGCACGTTTTGACCTCTGCATTTCCCTCCCTCTTTCCATGTTGCACCTTTTCTCCTCACTCTCTCTGCCATTTGCATCAGCTCTTGATTCCCCTCTCTGTCCTCCTTAGTTCACCATTAAAATGCCTAATAGCAACACTAGTGTGGTATCCAAAATGAGCTGGAGTGTTGTACAATTGGTCACCAATTAATATTGTTGTGTAATATGAATGATTGACATTTTCTTCCTAAAACAAAATCTAGAAATATGTGATTTTGTCAAAATCATGTTACTGGAAAGCATCACTTTCAACAGCACTGAGAAACTACTGTTACAAATGAGAAAATCTCAATAAAGATAATCTGAATAAACTTAAAATTCATATTTCTTGCTGATTTAATTTAAAGGTCTATTTCAAATAGAACAGTTGACAGAAAGTTATATCACTTACTTTCAAATTGAAATATCTATGCTCTCACTCTGACACTTCTAAATCAGAAGCTTTCATAATACTCTTCATGAGCAGCATTTCAACCAGCAAGTTCCAGTTTTGTCTGGGTACTCTTTGAAAATTCACAGTGACTACAAGTATTTGCACTCTGGGAACAACAAAAGACCCCTGATGCAGACGAAAGCATCATTGTGCTTGGTATGACCCAAAGTCTGAACCAAACAGAGGCACCAGGTCATAGACAAACACTTTGGGCTCCCTAGAGAGAGACTGAAACAGCAGCTTTACCTGTCTTGGACTAGATGTCTTAAGAGTATGATCAAGACTGGTTTTTCCTCATGACCATTGGAACTGACTAATGCTAAACTTTCTTACAGGAAGAAAATTTTGTACTTGAAACGACTTTAACTCTTGAATATGTTGGAGGACCTGATGAGGATCAATGCTGTCAAAGTAGCTCTCATCTCTGAGACTACACTGAGCAGAAGCTGCAAGACCAGCACTTCCAGCTGAATCAGAATCCTAGACTTAAATACAAAATTATTTTGTTTTCTCAAGGGAACGAATATTAGCCATTCTGAAGAGAGGCCCAGGTATAAGAGAGGCAGATTCCAAGTGGCAGGTGAGGATGCTAAACTGCTTTCCAAAAATAAACCATATTTTCTAGAATTGGCCCCACATTTTCCAAGCTCAGTGTTCAGGCATACTAGAAAGGCTTTTTATGTATTACAAGAAAACTCATACTTAGTGAAGCCATTGAGTTTGTCTGTATTTCTTCTGCCACAGCATTCTTGCTGGAAATGAAAACCTGCATATGATGAACACCAAATAATGGATTTTCAAACTTGCACTGAAATGAAAAAGATCTTTCTTGGCAAGACTGGTGTCTAGATAAAATGTAAATTCAATCTCTCTGCAAAGCAATTCTAAATAATCAGAAATGCATACAGTCACTAAAATACATTACCAGAACAACACAGAAATGGAAAAACATGACTACAGAAATGGAAAAACATGACTATATTTTTTTTTCTGCTTGAGAATAGAAGTATATGGTTCTCCCAAATAATCATCTGTTTCAAGAGACAACTGTTCACATGCAAAAAAATCATGTTTCCATTTCATATATCTTGCTTCCTGGATTGGCTCTAATTCTGATCTTTACCCTGGCCCAAAATGGAAGCAATTGCATTGTACAAGCTGTCTTTTCAAACGTGACTTCTCAGGGTACTTATTCATTTAGTCTCAAGACTGTGTGGTGAAGAATCCACAGGACTGTAATGGGGAGGATTTCAGGGCCATTCCTTTTCTGCCAGGCTCATTGTGTAGCATTAGATAAATTATCTTAGCACTGGCTCAGATCTTCCTTTCCTGCTTCAGTTTGTTTATGCCTAAATTGTCAGATGAAGAGCTTGGAGAGCACTCTGAACTTGTGCGTAGCCAGTCAGCTGTCCCTTTTCTTCTCTTGCAGATTGGGAAGTGAAAAAGAAAGGAGATTCAAAGGTATGCAGAAGCGGTTAAGCAGACCTCTGTTAATCTTACTCACAAGAGATACGGGGTTTTTTATAGTGAATATAACCTGCAAGGTGAGGAATATACTGGACTGTGTTTGTACCTGAATGAAGGTTTTGGGCATGCACTCAGGATTTGAGGCATGTCTATACTTAAAAATTTGTTCCCTCCATACTCTACTTAGCTGGCAGCACAGACATTCTTCTGGTTGCACAGTCAGTCAGATAAATCAGGCCCTTCCAGGTAAAGCAGAAAACAAAAATTGCAAAGAGGTTTCTAGCTCCCTGTACCATCCTTTTCCAACCAGTACTGATGGTGCAAGGAGAACCCCAAAAATGCAGCTCCCTTATATAAATCGTTGATAATAATTCCTTACCTCAGACTTCGCCTTGTCATGAGATATCAACTCCTGTGAAAATTGCAAGTACAATTAATTATTAATTTCTGGTTTATTATTGATTGACCATTTTGTCAAACAGACTATATAATAGGCTGTAATAAACTCTTTCTATTTGCTGCTCTGACTTACAATTCCTAGTGCAGCAAAACTGAAAAATAAGATCAAGTCTCAGCTGACTTACAAAGATCATTAGTAACCATGTCTTGTATGCAAGAACTGGATTCAGGCCATGCTGACACAAGACAATCAGTTTTCTATACTTGCAGGATGCTGTAATGAAATGCCTGATTTGATGAAGTTAGAGGTGTTATGATATTTTCATCATTGTGTAATAAAGCATCAGGAAACCTTCAAGCCTCTAATGTTATTGAATATCTTGGTGGTGTTAATACTAACAGTGTACAGTTTGCAACGTAAGGGAAGGCTTAAGGGAAGAAGGAGGGAGAAGGACAGTTTAGGCTTTTGGTTTAAGGTGAAAAATCTTTTTCAAATTAATTTGTTCACCATCATTAAATGACTGGTACAGTCAGGGTTTTGCATGCACCTGGAACCTCCCAGCATATTCGTAAATAAGAAATAGTGGAATGAATAAATAGATGTTTCTCATTTTTACTACAAAGCAAAGGTTATTAGAGTGAATGGTATGCTAGTTTTTTGCAGTTACTTATTTTTGTCTCTATTTAGTAATATTATTGGATATTCTTTTAGGAACTGAATGAACACAAGAAGATTTTCATAGGAATTAGTAATGTACTTTTATATGCATATACATTTGCAGGTCCATAGTGGCTTATATTTTAAAGTTATGATCCAAATTTACAACAAATTAATAAAAATGGAAAATTAAACCCAGTATTAACTTAAATGTTGCTTTCCCAGGGTCCCAGTCACACTCAGCATATTTAATTCATTCCTGCGAATTCAGCAGGGCTTTGTGTAGAAATAAAACAAACAGCATTTCTATGTGCCTTCATTGTTTAGCTACTGTACAATTTCTTGTGACTGCTGATATTATTTATAACTAGGACATTTGTTTGTTTGTTTTCCATTTGTAAAAAAAAATAGGCAATGAAACATTTGTTAAATTTATTTCTTTTTGAAACAATGGCAACAGAAAGATTTACATGGACATAACAAAACAAGGGCTTTATAAAGATCTTCATATAACCTTTTCTCTCTAAATATATACAACCAATAGGAATATTATGTGGTTTTCTTCTTTGTTCAGTAATGAAGCGTTAATTTCTATTTCCACTGTACAGCTGTTGTACTTCTCTCACTCGGATTTTGCCAGCACAAGCCCAAGCTCATGATTGCCAGCAAGAAAAGTCTGCCTGGAGGGAGCAGTCAGGGCAGCCCAAGAAGCCCACGTCTCCAGGTTTTCCAAGCCGAGCTCCGCAAAAAGGGCAGAGATAGCTCAGATGGGAACACAGCCAGGGCACCTGGCGGATGCGCTGACTCCATACTCCAAGTAGTTCCTGCCTATGCAGTAAAGCTTCACAGCTATCTAGGAAGGAGATTACCTTGCACAAAGCCAGCATGCACACCATCGAGCTCATTGGCTTGGGCTCCACACATCACACACAACGCTTTCGCAGCTCACTGATGAGAAAGCACGGCTGAAGCCAACCTCTGAGCTGTTCCCTGGTGGGTGACTCCTGGCTGATCTGATAGGGCAGGTCACATTACAGCCATGCCCTTGGGTATCTTCAGTTTTGTGACTGACATGGGATTAGGTGGCATTTAGGGCAAGGCCCTTCTTAGCAAAACCCCTGCAGAAGTTTGCAGAATCCTGCTCACTGCGTGAGTCCTGTAAATTACAAATATTTCAGGAATATGCTGCAGAGTGGCTTTTCACTTGCTCTATAACTGTATACACAAAGGGCAGCTGATCAGCAGATCCCAATCAGGTGAGCACGTGGGACATGAGACTTCTTAAGTGTCTTTCCTGCAGGTCATGTTGCTGCCTCCTTCAAGGAAGTGGAGCTAAAGAAAACACCCTGTGTCCATCTTATAGCTTCAAATGTTATTTGGTTGTAAGTGAGGGTGAGGCCAGCTGCAGCCCTCCACTGTTCTTTAGGAGGAAGGAAAAGGTAAATGATAAATCTGTGTGTCCGTGTCTGTTCAACTGTGAACATGCTTTCTGTCTCTAATGGGTATATTGGTATGATACCTAATGCATACATTCTGTTATGCATTTTTGTCATGCCCTTGCTAAATTTTCACATTCTAAGAAACCCACTGGACTAAATAAGCTTCCCCTCTACCCCCAAAAATATTAAACAAATCCAATGCAATATGATTATCATTCTAGACTTGATAAAGAGAATCTTTAAGCATATTGCATAAATTAAGTACATAATGTAACAAATCCTACATGAGTTGTAAATAGTCTCCACCTAAGCAGCCTAACTGGCACACATGAGTGTGAAATATTATACAGTGAAACCTGTGTGCCCTAAGAGACTACTCTAGGGTATTGACAAATACTTTACAACATCAAATTACTCATATTAAGCAAGCTGGCTTTGCAATTTAACCAGAGATGGTCTATAATTGTTTCAAGGTACAACATTTTTTCCTAAGAGACCTGCTAAAGCACTATGGATTTCAATGTCTATAGGCTAACAATATAAATGTATAGTATTATGAATGAACTCTGTCACTTTGAATTGTTTTGAGTTTTGGGGAAGATTTCATATCAATCAAAATAAAAGCTGTTAAAAATTATTGTTTTCTTTTTAACTTCATGTAACTGGCTATTGAATATTTAATTAAGCTAAAATTAAAATTTTGTGTTAAATTCACACATTGAAATAACATATTTCAAGTTTTCAGTAGAAACAAGTAAACATTTCCACTTAAGCTTAGTAACTAATTTCTGATATCAGATAACTGCAATATAATCTCATATGGAATTCCCGTCACTTTTTTTTGAGTACAGTTTTCAGACACTTTTAATAAGAGACACATCTCTTTTAAATTGTTCTCCTGCCCTAGAAAGTGATTTGGCAAAAATGGCACTGGGGGCTCTGGATTCATTATCACACTGCTTTTCCTACCCAATGAGCTCAGTTTGCAAGTAAATTTCTAACTGCCAGCTGCACAAACTCAGCCTGAGTCCTGGACCCCTTCCATCTCATGCATCACCACCAGTAATAAATATCCTGTATGCCAGAATATGCCCTCCATGGCATCTGTGCAATCCCAGTGCCATCCATGAATTTGCACAGGTGTTGCTGGGGGCAGACATTCAAATCAATAGGGTTACACACAAGTGGCTGAGGAAATTATCTGCCAAACAGAACTACTGGTACTACAATGATCTGTGGAATGGAAGGGACCCTGTCTGACTTGCAGAGCCGGGTTTTAGTCCCACAACCAGGAAAAAAAGTGTTTTGTCTTACAAACAAAAATTCTGAGAGGGTTGCAATGTATGTGGAACATCCCAACACTATTTTTTATGCCATTTCAAAATCATAAAATAGTTTTGCAGTATACATAATGCCCAAAGAACACATTTGGGGTTTTTTTTTGTTTTTCCAAAGAAAAGGCTTTATGGAAACCACAGTCTAACACAATCTCAACTCCAAGAGCATGCGGTAGCTAGTGTACAGTAGCTGAAAAGACAGGAGGGGATCCCATTTTCCTAGCAATGGCAAGGAAATTGAATTTTTCATGTGAATTAGCAGCTTAAGATAAAAACTCTAGGGAAGGGAAGATGCACCAAATCTTAAAAAGCACAGCCAGTGTGCCTTTTCACTATTTTACCCTGCATTAGCTAACACGAGGTAAAACCACAGCTTATTTTTTCCTCATGAATGCAAGACTCAAGGAATTTACGTTTATTCCAGAAAAGATCCCTAGGAAATGTGTCTGTGATCTAACTTCGGGTGTGACCCCTCTGTTCAGAATTCACATGTTTCCCGTTAAGACAAAACTCTCTTGACACTGTAATTTTTCTTACTCCATTTTGAATCTACAGCTTGTGATTGAAACCACTTCCCACACCTTGCAGAAGGTGCGTAACTCCAGTTTTCCCACACATTCCCCATGCAAAGTCATTTTGGGCTCTCCAGACAAAAATCTGCAGCACAATTCAGAACAGGCATGAAATAAATAGCCAAAAGAACACTGCACTCATAGTACTATTTGTCTTCAGAGTTAGCACAGTAAAAATCTTGGGGTTTGGTTTACTTAAATCTAACGGAGAGCAGACACTATGAGGAGAGGGAATATCCTCCTCTTTTTCTAAAACACTGTTTCTTCAACCACAAACTTTTTTTCTTTCTCTTATTTTATTCTTGTTTGGTAGTCAAAATCTTGCAAGAACAGCATAAAGCCAGTCTCTTGAAAAGATGGATCTCTTCACATTTTTAAGCACCAACGGGGGCAGACAGAAGCACATAGGGCCACACTGAGAGGGCCTGTATTCCTGTGTGAAGCATTTTCTGCTGCTTAGCTTCAGGCCTTTGGAGGCAGCTCGCCAGCGTCTTGACTCGGAGACCTCAGTGCTTTCACTGGCATTATATATTCATGCTGCACCGCGTTCAGGAGAACATGTCCCCAGCACTAGGAAGCTCAGCATAATGCAGACCTGCAAAAAAAGGGGGCAAGCACAGGGCACTCTAGTGAATCCTGGTTTACCTGTTCTCTCCCACTTCCTGGGCTAGCCTAGGCTTCTCTTGACCCAGATAATGGAAAGATGATGATTCATTTGAATTTCAAAAGAACGAGTAGTAGGCTGTTAGCTCTAACTGCTGTGCTCTAATAGGAATATACACACGCACACATACAATTATTGAACTGCTTTTCAAACAGTAAATTATTTCATTTTAATAGTAATATCTACTTACTCATGTAGATGTTTTAATCAGATTTCTAAAATCCTCAAGATAATCCTGAGTGTGGCTATTATCTACCAGTCTGTTTTCAGCTTCATTATTTTCCTAACACTACCCTTCAAAATAAAACAAAAAAACCAATCAGAACGTAACATTAACAAGCATGAGAAAACAGTATTGCTGTTTATATTTAAAAGATCACTTTGAGGAAAAATTGAAATGCTGCCAAGACACTTCAGAAAATGAGATATACCAGAAAAATAGAAAAAAATGGGATTTACGGAAGTTATGTGATGCCCATAGTATTAACACGCTTCTTCACATGGACACACACAAAGGAGAAGAAACATTCCAGATGAAGTCTGTTGTAACAACGGTGGCTTCGATACATCCCAAAGCTTTATTAAAAATTATCTCTCCTGATCTTAAATATGTTAAATGTCAGATTCTGCCACCCTAGTGGAGGGAGTCCTAGGCATCCAAATCTCTTATCAATACTGGTTATATGGTTTCCATTGCAATTGACTGAAAATTTTCCAAAATAGTTCATGGCTCTTAGAAAATGATGATTCAACAAAGCAACAGTAGTTTATGAAAATTCATTGTTTTGATTCATTTCACAGGAAACTGAGGAAACATTTAGTTTTCATTTCATCAGCTTGAATTTTATACAATTATATAATGAAATCTCCCATAAAAGTTGAAACACAACAAATTAAAACATTTTGATGTGTTTCATTTTGCAAAACTACACTATTACTTCTATCTGGATTCAAAATGCATGCAAAACCCCTGGAATCTCTCACAGGGGCAATTTTTGTTGGTAATCTGAATACTGATATTTACAGAAAAATACTAAGAAATAGGATTAACCAGGACGCTTGGTATCCTGGTACCATTTTAGCTAGAGTCCCAGCAGCAGTAAAGCTGCCTTCCCTGGAGGCAGCCAGCCAGCTGCGTATCTCCTAAGACTCCTGGCCATGCCACCGTTATAAGAAACATACTCTCGCCCTTTCCGAAACTCTTGCGACACAGATGGCTGTGTCCGATCTGAGCGAGTCCCCACCCAGACAGAGTGGGAAGTGCCAAATTCACAGTCCTCTTGGAAGGAATGCCCTGCTCTGCCAACAGCCCTCCTCAGCAAGACCACAGCTGACCACAGCTGCGGCACAAACCCAGGCACTCCCAAAGGTACTGCACCCTCTCCTCATGTGGTTTCTCTAAACTGTAACATTTCCTGACAGGCTGAGAACCCTACCAGGCAAGTTTTTCATTTTACCTCATATCTCAAAGGATAAGCATTATTACAGGGCTAGACTGTACCACCAGGGACAAACACATGGAGAGAGAGAGGTGGCAGCAAGCCTCGGAGGAAAAATCCCTCCTGGGGGCACTCATGGAGAGGCAGAGCGGCATTTTTCAAAATCCATCTTTACAATGAAGTAAGTGAACCTTTTTAAGCTACGCCCTTTCTTTTCCCTCTACTCTGTACACCCAGCTGGGGTCAGGCAGTGGAAGCAATATGACACTATGTATCTGCCTCTTCTCTACTCCTTCAAACTCCTGACTCCTGACAAGTGCAGCTGAGACCTTGCAGCCCTAATGTATCCATAAAGCTAAAAGAGGTGAGTGACTTTATTTTTGTTCCTGTAACAGCACTAGTCACTCTGCAGCCCTATGATATCATAGTCACATCATCCAACACAGTAATTTTGCTGTGGTCTGAGGAAAATGAACCACTGTGCTAATTAGAGGATGATGTACCAGGGGACCTGCCGCCCCATTAGCACCAGTTCATAGGATGCGCTCTGACAGAGGAGAGGCTGTGCCAGGACTCATCCCTCTCACTGCCATCATGTCTGCACCCAGCCAGAAACCATCACAGAACTTATTAAACTTCTGTCTTGCTAATAACTATAAGCAGTAGCTAGAAAACCACAAAGGGACCCGCAGAACAGTATGTGAATTCATTTTCAGCACACGTTTTGCAAAGCAAAATGACCACAGATGAGTACACCGTTGGCTTTCGATTTCATAAATTCTGCGATGAAAACAAACACGGGATTATCTGGAATAGCTGGATCCACTACGGGTGTTCTGCAATAACCACAACACTGTTGAATAACTGGATGCTTTCTGGAAAACAAACAAACAAACAAAAAGTCAGCACTGTTAGATGCTTTCTGTAAATTTTCAGCCCTTACTCTGGAGAAACCGCGTTTAATCCTCTGCCTACACCACGTGGAAAATGCCCCCGGGTGGGTGCGATGACCTCCCTCAGCCGGCACGCTTACCTCCTGCGGGCAGGCTGGGCCTTCTCTGGCGGACAGGGGCACCTCCCCCGTGCCCCGGGCAGGCCGGCCCGGCCCCGAGGAGCAGCGGGCACCGCCGCCCAGCCGGCCGGGGCCGCCGAGGCACG